GAGGAGGGGAAAGGGAGGTATGATCCGCAGTTGAGGAGGGTGGAGGCGTTGAGGGAGTTCGTGTGTCCGATTGTTTATGAGGAGGGGGGTGCTGCGGCGGGTAAGGATAATTGGATTAAGAGGGCTTCGGATAAGCAGGAGAAGTGGCTGTCGGAGAGGCAGAATAGTTCGATTGTGGGGAAGAGGGAGAAGGCTGGGAAGTGGATGAGTGAGGCGGAGGAGGCGGAGAAGCAGCTGAATGTCAAGATTGAGGAGGTTGAGCTTGCGAAGGAGGCTGCGAGGGCTAGGGCTAGGGAGAGGATCGAGGGTCCGTTGGGGGAGTCGTTGCAGGGCCGGGGCATGATTCAGGATGATTTGGACAAGGATTTGAAGAAGCTGGATAAGACCTTGGCGAAGCTTGTTAAGGAGAGGGAGAAGAAGGTTACGAAGATGATGCAGAAGGGTGAACGACGTCTGCAGAGTGTGGAGAAGAAAGAGAGCCGTATTGCGCAGAAGGTGATGTGGGTGGTGGTGACGGGGGATGATGGGACGGGCTTTCAGAACCATCTTTTTGAGGAGTCGGAGACTTGAGATACTGTGTTGCTTGTCTTGGCAGTGGAAGATTCACGTATACCCTTTGAGTGATCTCTGCGTTTAATTATACTAACTCTAATCTATTTTTTATTATTGGACTGCAGATTCGGCGTGCAATCACATCACATATCTGAAGAACGGGTTCTGCTTATCAGTCAGATCTTGGAATGCCAACTTATCCCGTTGGCTCTCATCAAGGTCCATCTTGTCCCGGCGCCGGTTCTCCTTCCACAAGACCAGATACAGGGCTACTGCGGCGGCGATGGTGATGCAATAGCAAATCACCATGCCCGTCCATAGCTCCGGATAATGCTGGCCCACCGTCTTGCTGTTCACAAGTTGTGGCCCGATGATGTTGCCGACGGTGTAAGCCACAAACACCGTGGCCGCCATGACGGTTTTCTTCGTAGCACCCGCCACATTGCTGGCCCCAAGAGTAATGATGAGACTGACAACTGGTCCGAAGAACCCCGTCAATGCGTATCCCACAACAGGGGCTGCGGGTTGGTATCCCCATTCGGACTTCCAGATGATCACACACCCAGCGATGACAGGCAGACAACAGGCAATCAACATGGGAATGCGTGTGTTTGGGATCCGTGACGAGATGTAGCCGCACAGTGGGATGAAAATGACGCAGACACCGCCGACGGGGAATTGGAATAGGATCGATTCCAGTGTGTTGAAGCCAAAAGTTGATACGATGAGGGGACCAAACCCGGAGATCGCGCCGTTGATCGTATACCTAGTGAGACGTAAGAATGGTGTTATGTGATTTGACACGGAAGATACTCACGCGGCAGCCATCATTATCGCGACGAGGTACAACTTCAGGTCCAGGAACGACTCCTTAATGTGATCCCACTTAATCTTTTGGCATCGCACACCCGTCTGCCCTTTCCGCAGTCGCTCCACTGCGACAACTCGTTCCTCTGGGGTCAGGAACCACGCGGAGACAGGCGAGTTGGGCATAATACAGCACCATAGCCCAAAAAGAAAGGTCAGCGCACCGGCAAAAATATAAATGTACTGCCAACGTTTCAGAGCGCCCGAGCTGATCTGGCCAAAAGCGTAGTTCAGGGCACCGCCAATGATAGTGAACCACCCCGTACCGGAGAACCACCACGCTTGACGCATGGCTTGCTCCTTCTGCGTATAGTAGCTGCTTACGATCGTCATAAAGCCCGTTGGAACTACGCTCTCAACAAAGCCTGAGCCCTGTCAGAAATATTCGACCACTGACAGAAAGAGATGACAGTCACAATAGGGAAAATCGCACCTAAGAAAAACCGCTGCGCAAACAAACCCTGCCACGTTTTTACACCCGCTGTAGCGGCACAGGTAATAGCCCACATCATCACAATGGGGCCAAATACATATTGTGTTTTGAAGCGTTGAAGGATAAACGTCATCGGATACAACCCGGCCAACATTCCAAAATAAAAGATGGAAGTCGCCCAGCTGAGTCGCGATGTGTCCTTCGACGGTGGCGATGTAGTATGATCGATGACAAGTAGTTCCAGATCAGTTGTCATACCGAACAGAGATGCACTCCCCAAGATAGCCTGAACCAGTCAGCTAGGGCTTGTGTTAGACTATAGAACTGATTGCAACTGACTTTGTCCCAGTATACAAATCCATATCCTGAACTCGTTAATAACAATACATAAGACGGAAATATATAAGACGCCCACCTATCAACATTGCAGGCATGAAGAATAAATCAATCTTGCGCAGCACACGCTTCTCTACCGCAGGGTCGATCTCCTGCGCTTCGTCGCTCACCACCGCCAGTGCGGCGTCCTTCTCGGACGTTGGGGCATCTGGAGATGAGGGGCGCTCTGCCGTAGCGCTCGGCACTTGAATCATTTTGATAGTGCGTATCTTGCTAGAACTCAGCAAGGAACATTCTGAGGGCAAGATCCTTCTCGATGGCCGTTGAGAGGGAAAAAGAATTTTCCACCATTTTAACCTCAACCAGTGACAGATGACTTAGTATGACTTCGGTGAAAGCACTAGACACGAATTAACGGAAGTTTACGAGGTGATGGAGCTCATAGAGAGATTTTACTGGCCCAGGGAAATGCCAAAGCTCGGATTGAGTGGTGCGGAGGACTCCGTTCCTGAGGCCACATTTCCTATTCGGGACTAGCTTGAGGTTCGTACCAGACATCTGCATGTCAAACTGATATTGGGATCGGCCTTATTAAACCATGCATACCTTGTATACAAATGATAAAATCCCATTACTACCTTGATATACAGATTAGCAGGAAAGGGAGGAGAGCAGACTGACCAGGCCCTGCGTTACAGAAGCAAGAAACATTTGTCCAGTACTACCTAGAAATAGGTTGACCTGATAGTGGTCATGATTAGAACTTAGAAGGCTGGATAGATCAATGTTACGCATGACGCATATGGCTAAGTCCAGTATGTACCCTGGAGTATCTCCAGCTGTTTAGGCATGGGGTTTATAGCATTGTCAGCAGTTGTACGTAGGCTGCGTGGGTGAGACTATTGGTTTGCGGACCTACTAGCCGTATATGGTAGCTACTACCGCGGACATGCCGCGGACATTCCGCAACTTCGAAGTATTAAAGCACCATGGGCGAATTTGAGGAACACTCGGTCAGGACAGTTCCCAATACGAAGACAGATTTTAAAAAGAATGTCTGAGCATCGGAAGGTATGTCTGCATTTGCAAGCCCAATTATCCCTTTACTAACCTCTCAGGCAATCATTATCGGGGGAGGTCCTGCTGGTCTCTCCACTGCGCTGCGTCTCCACCAAACCACAAACATAAAATGCAGCATCTATGAACTCCGACCTGAGCCGACTACACTCGGTGGTGCAATCGGCATCATGCCTAATGGTCTGCGACTGTTCTCCCGTCTAGGTGTCTATGAAGCCCTCCACGCGCGAGGTAGCAGCCGGAGCAACCTTGTCATACATTCCGCACAAGGCGGGATTGTAGGCGAGCAGGAGGATATGGTCAGCTACGCACGAGCGCAGACAGGCTTTGGATATCTCCGAATTAAGCGAACGGATATTGTGGACGTTCTTCTGGATGCAGTGTACAAAGCTCAAATCCCAATCCATTTCAACAAGCGGCTCACTGCCATCGACGACAATGGCGATTCTGGCGTGACCGTGACGTTTTCCGACGGTAGTACTGATACAGCAGACATCTTGATCGGGTGCGATGGTATCCACTCTTGTGTGCGCCGTCTATATGTCGATCCCGACCAGAGGCCTGAATACTCTGGGCTTTCTGCACTATCTTCGCTTGTTCCCACGTCGAGGCTGCCTTCCGCTGCAGAAAGGCAGGTTTCCGGGATCGGTGCGACGTTGACAGAGCAAGGGATGTTCATGGTGATGCTCGCCACAGCAGCGGGCGATGAGGTAGCCTGGGGTTTGTCGCAGGAGGTCCCGTTGCCGGATGGCGGGGATAGTCGAGATGGTTGGGAGGTGTATCGGCAGAAGGAGGTAAATGGGTTTAAATCGAATATGCATCAGATTTTGGAAAAAGTGCATGGGGACTGGGGAGACTTACTCAGACAGCTCGTTGAGGACACCGACGTTATAAAGTTCTATCCGATCTACCGACTGCCTCTTGGCGGTGCTTGGTATAAGGGTCGCTGTGTGCTTCTTGGTGATGCGGCGCATGCGATGCAGCCCCATGCGGGACAGGGCGTCTCTATGGCGTTGGAAGACACGTTTCTGCTTGCTCGCTTACTGGAAGACCCAAGTCGACCCGTGGCGGAGGTGTACAAGAAATTCGATGAGATTAGGAGACCCCGAGTGAACGAGATCTACAAGCTCGCTGCCCGAAATGCGGGGGTTCGGAAGACGACTGGGCCTTGGGGCTTGTGGTCAAAGGAAGTACTAGTTGGGATGGCATTTTGGGCTTCTTGGGCTTTAGGGTTGGAGAAGTGGGGATGGGGACAGAAGCATATGGCGTACGATATTGATACAGAGGAAATCTAGAAGCCTAAGCACTCGTGGCGGATGTTCATAGCCAGCATTTGACTTAACAGCTTGTGAAGGTTTGGGTAGCGTTTACTTCCTTTTCAATAGTTCTAATTCACGCAGCGATATCTTGCTACTGCATTGAGATGAGTGCTTGAACAAGGCTTATGTGTGAAAGCGCTTAGACAGGGGAAGTAGAGATACGAATACAAACAAATTCTCCTATCAAAAAACCTGTTTAGAGGAAAGCCTCCGCACGACCGTTACCAATAATCCTCTGTCAGGTATGCTCTGTAACAAAATCATAAGGTGGATCCTTGTGTATTGACTAATAGACTGCACGTTAATCCAGCCACCAAGCACCTCAATGAGAATGCAGCGCCATGTGGCGTCAAGCCAACAACGCTTTTGAGACCTCTCTCGCGCCGACTCCGTGTCACTTTAGCTTTTCGAGGGCCTGTGCACCTGTGCCACCTGAAAACCGGAGATCGCGTTTTGTTTTCCCCCATGGGTACACGTCGTCTATAATCAACCGAATTTTATGAATAAAGTTCTCATACCAGGGTCCATGCTTGAAGCCAAACATCACTCTAGACCAACAATCAGATCAAAGGGGAATTCTTGGTATAAAATGGTATGCCGGGGGGAACAACGCACAACTTGCCATCAACGCGACGGACACGGTATAGCTCGTGGGGGAAATCGGGACCGAGTGTGCCAGAGTACTTGTCTGCCTCGAGATCAATCACGACATGTAGTTTGGGGTCGATCTGCGGTATATCAGAGTTTGAGGGTTGGATGTGGACGAAATGGCGGCTGGTATCAAGCTCCTCGATTGAGCGACCGTTCTTTTCAAAATAGAGTCGAACTGGCTCATAGAGGTCTGCTTCGTCGAGGTCTGCTTCTTGCAAGCGTAGAATAACTCGCTTCGGCTGGTCCATCTTGGCTTAGTGGAGGGGTGTGAACAAAAGCTTGTACGGTTTGACGAGGGGAGTCATTGTTCTTATGTTGTCGGCGACCAATGTTTGCTCAGTAGGGGATCAGCAAAGAAAGGCCAGCGAAATTGATACGTTAGACAGAATCCATTGATCGGCGGAGTCCACAATTAGACAATAGTAGCTAGAAACATGAATATCCCTTTGTATCCCAATACCATTGGCTGCTCTTGTGTGACCGGTCCAAATTATCCCCCGTCCTTGTCCTCCACCAAGTTCCCAGTCCTTATTGCTAGAGCCCAGATACACACTACGGTCCAGAGTTGTTAGTACTGGATTCCTAGTCCATTTCATTTACTTACGTGAAATTCAAACGATGAACATAACCTCGGAGCCTTCCGAGCTCGGCGGCGTTTCGCCCCTACAAACAGGACATGGGCCGTCTAAGTAATCATTCCATATGTCGATGACACGGTCAAGATCACGCAGTCGGCCACTTGGTGGCAAGCAAAGCTGTCGATGTGGGCGCTGAAAAGCAGCGAGGCAACGCTGGTAGTCCCTAGCCACTGTATGACCGCAACCGCGACGACCGTTATATCGCTCGCAGAGTAGCTCACACATTCCCAGATAAGAACGTACCAGATCGTTGGACGAGTATATTTCACTGTCGCTCCCGAGAAAAAAGACGAAAGGACTTGAACAACTCATAACAGTTAGGTTTCTGGATGAGATTATATACATTGGCAACACCTTACTTCGAGAAGTTTGAGTATATCGCAGGCATATCACCTGTGGGTTTGTGCTGCAAGGTGGCCAACAAGGTGTTGTGCTTGCAACAGTCCGATGGGATTTGGCACCGTCCTGTTTGGTTCTGAGCTACCATACCCTATCATATTTCCCTTGAGAGAGAGCTTGAAGGCCGCAAGCGCGAGGCTCAAGTGGCCTAGGTGTTAGGGCATCTACCTGTGGGATATTCTCCGAGGGGACAAGGCTGCACTTCGTGCAACTGTTAGTGATAATAAGGGTTGGTGTATTTGTCCTCTACACATTGTTGGTGCGATCGCCCACACTGCGCCCCAGTGGCCTAGTTGGTCGGCAAGGTTTCATCATATCCTAGCTTACACTAAGTGCAAGCAATTGCTACCGGTCATTACCAACCCCAATGGCACACGTTTGTCACACAGAGTGTAACCAACCATGGAGAGCTGACCAGGTTTTCACTCAACCGACGAGCACTAAGACTTTTGTACAGTCTACGCCCAGTATATTAAATTACGCGACGGGACGATGAGCTTGTCACACCATGCATAACAGCGATTGGCCGCTAGCCCTCGACTACTGCAAAGTCTCATGTATATGGGAGGTGCAGGAGTGCTTCGCAGGTCAAGCAGGCGCAATTGCGAGTATGCTGGGGGAAGAGACCACCTGAAAGCCCGTCTGGTTCACTCGGATACCAAATATCTTAGCTAAGGCAAGCCATTTATTGTTTTTGTGTGCTTTCAACGAAGTTGAAGTCCATATCATCCAACAGGGAGTTCCACTGCGGGATTTCGAGCTCTGGGGCGACCGCTAGAAAGTCAGACCACAGCTGGTCCCATACTTCCCCCTGGATTCCAGCCTCATGTGGAACATTCCTGCAGGGAGCCACATCCCCAACTAGGATTGGTTCTTCGCTTTCTGGCGATTGCACTGTATCTGCTGTATGACTAGAGAAAGATGTGTCATGAAGACCTCGCGAATGCTGAGGGTTCTGAGGGGCTCCGTCGGCTGACACAGGGGTATCTTTACCTATTTCCGTAGGGCCTCCTGGTTGTGAACCAAGGAGCTGTGGCCGCTGTTTATTGAGGGTCGACATGAGGGTCTGCATATTTCTCTGTATTGTCTCTACCAGGATACTCGACTCTTCCTTTGACTTCTCGAGAGTTTCATAAGCAGCAAGCACTTTAGCCTTGTGAGCCTCGGCATCTGGTGCTTCAGGCTTAAACGAAACGTCGGTAGCTAGAATAAGGGCGGCGAGAAAGGCATGCTGGTTTGTCGTCCAGAAGCGTCCTGGTTTCAACCCGATCCGTGCACCCGCATCGTCCATCAAGCGTCGCAGCTCTAGGACTTTCAGTGCAGACTGGATACATACCCGATGGGAATAGAAATATTTCGGGTTTGTCACACCTTCAAGGTGGTAAGGTCGGTGAAGCCGACAGAGGCGCGCGTGGAGACTGAAATGGAGACTGATTCGCTGGACAGGGATATAGGGACGCTTTTCACATATTGACTGGCTTTGTTCAATGCTGTCGGGGTCTAGTTGAAAGAAGATTGGAAGTTCACCTAGGAAGTTTTGAAACTTCCTGTCTAGTGCTAGGATGGTTTCATAGTCTGGCTCTTGTGCCTCCAGCCAAATTGATGGCATCGCATCGACAACTTCACGGCAAAGAGTAGCCAACTTCACACGGTAGATAAAGGCGGACAGTGAGGAGGGTTGGGATAAGGGATGGTCCTGCAGTATCGCTGTTGGTGTAATGAGTTCATCGTCAATATTAGTGGGATAATCAACCATCATGTGCTTTGGATGGATTAAGTATGCCCCTTCCTGGGGACCACCAGAAAATGAGTTTAGCCTTCGCTCGTCAGTGATTGGTCAAGCTCAATGTATACTCGACTCACCAGTCGCTTGCCAGCATGTTCCACCAGATCCGTCTTTGGACTTCGAGTTCAATTGCGTTGTAACCTTTCAGCTCTCTTTGTTCACGACTTTTCGGAGTGTCTAAACGATGGATCTGCATTGCGCGTGCCATGGTGAAGCAACGGAAGCGGATTAAAGGAAGTTTGTAAGGGTACGCATCAGAGTTGCCAGCTATATGTGACAAAGTAACCATAGCGGCGAGCGCAATAGTGGAGGGCTCTATTGGCTGAGGATGATCTAAGATCGATATTGCGAGTCGTGTGTATACCTTGAAAGCTGCCTGTGCTTCTGTTGGCGTGGTGTTCAGATTCTCCAAAAGCTGGGGTGTCCAGGCAAGTACTGAGCCCGCAAATATACTAAGAAATAATAGCAACCTAGCAGCATCTACCCCTTGGCCCTCCAGCATTGTATGGTATGTATCTTCCATTAGCTCTTTCGTAGAAGGTAAATGGAGGACTCCGAACGTCGGCCCAATAGTTACCGCGAAATGGCGGAACAGCTCTCTAGCCTCATCTATTTGCGGGAGATGTCCGGCTATACTTCTTGTGTCCAGGTAATTTTCACTTTGAGAGGATCTAACGTGAGAATTAACTGCGGTAAAGCATATATGGGAGTTCCGTTCCTCCTATGAAGTCTCAAATATTACGATTCGTTTCCCTAGCAATGCATGGGAAATCACATACGTTGTTTGCTGGGTATACCGAAGATAGATGGGTTGTCTTATTTGAGTTGTGGAAGACCACTTCTTCTAACTTCTGGAGGCGATGCAACACCTCCTCCGCGTTTCTTCCGTGGCATAGTTAGCGACAAAGCCAACCAAGGGAATACGATCAACTCACAGAGAAGCAGGCACTGCCTGCAAGGTCCCCGGAGCAGCTGGCGGACTGGGGGCCATCAGGAATCGGTTGGGATCAGTTGCTATTACGGATCCCTGTCTCCCAGATAGCTGGTTATGGTCAGTTTGCCCGGCATATTCGCACTCGATATGTCTCTGCGCGCAACTGGAGCAGGGCTGGTTGCGATCACATCGACGTTTTTTCTCCCGGCAAGATTTGCACGACAGAGGTGGTCGGTTCCACCGATGTATCATCATTACAGGGGCTCCACTGTGATTTCGTTTCATGATTTGGCTTCTCACTGGATGACGGCTGTGATAGGAACATGAGATGAACACCAAAAGGGGTGTAAACGTCCGCGGGTCACTATCATCGGATGTGGCTAGCGGCTCCGCGTACTCCGCGGGTATCGGTCACGTGGTATTCAGAATGTTGAATAACAAGATCTGTAGATACACCTTCCAAAACTGAATTGGTGGAAGCTGCTTTGTCTAATAGCCCCTCATCATTGATACTACTGTCCTGGTGCCAAGTTGTTAGGGCTCTGTCAGGATGCATGACGTCAGGGGAACTGGGGCGGAATATAGATTCCGCTGGAGGATGAATGGACTCGGCGGAAAATCTGGAGGCCCGCTTTTCACACCACGGGCATTATTTGATTTCTCGTCCTTTCAACAAAGATCTTTCTGGTGCCTGGTATGACCATGGCCGATAACAATCCCTCGCCGAAGGGCGTCAGTGGCCCGAGCCCTAAATCAGGCCCAAGGCGGAATTTACCCTCCGCCCCCGGGAAGACGGGAGGGCGGAGCAGATATGCCTCAAGGGCTTGTCAGGAGTGTCGTCGACGACGTGCAAAGGTGGGTCAATCTCTCTATCTAGTCAGAGAGTTTCACGGCCCTTGCTTGCCGCCTGCTGATACTCGATAGTGTGACGGTAATAAGCCATCGTGCTCTCGATGTCTTGACCGCCAGTTATCCTGTATTTATACTACAGATGATGACGGCCGGGGGACAGCTCCGAAGGCTTATGTCCGGCAGCTACAGGCACGGATAAACATTCTGGAGCGGATACTCTGGCTCCATTCTATCGATGTTGATGCGTCCGCGGCTCAGTTACTGGAACAGAACGTGATCCCAAATACCACTTCACTGACTGCTGGCAGCTCTTCCTCTGCCTTTGACCAGCTCTGTACTGCCTTCGAGGGCACCCTTTACCTAGATGACTGCATTAATTTCGATAGTTATGGCGAGGCTCGTTACTTCGGCTCGGCAAGTGGCCGGACCGCGTTTCAAGGGTGTAATAGTGGGTTAAAGTGCACATAACCACAGTGGGGATGTGAACCCTACGGCTAATAGCTACGATACAGCGTCTCTGGAACATGCTAATCTCGAACGCCATATTGAAGCGCCAAATATGTACACCCAGGCACTTTCCAACGGGACTCAGATTCCCGAAGAGCTCGAGTCCCATCTACTTGAACTATATTTTACTTGGCAAAGTCCATTCTGTCAAGTTATAGACGAAGCTCTTTTCCGTGAGAGTAAGGCAAATAACGGCAGATACTTCAGCCCGTTGCTACTCAACTGTATACTCGCTTCTGCATCCCGCTACTCCGATCGAGTCGAGGTGCGGTCGGACCCCGAGGATTCCAATACAGCTGGCCGTGTCTTCCTCGAAATGGCGGAAGCGCTTCTGTATCTAGACCTCAAGCGCCCGAATATTACAACACTACAATCTCTCACCGTGCTGGGGACGGCATATGTGGTGAGTTCACCCTGTATGCCGAGGTCTCTTGTTTAACACAGTCTGACATAACAAGGCTTTCGGCCATGATGCCGCTGGCTGGCTATGCCAGGGTATGGCTAATCGACTAGTACTGGACATGGGACTTCATTTGGATTCAAACATACTGAACAGCCCCAATCGTATCACTGAGACCGAAGCTGAACTTCGGAGGCAGATATATTGGTCGTTATATTGTGACGACAAGTTGGCTGCCAGCTATACAGGCCGGGTCTGCACTATGCTTGTAAGATATCATTTTATCCTATTTCGGCCGGGGAACTACGGTCACGATACCTTCATCCTCTTGCTAAGTTTACATAGGACTTCCAAGGAGTAGTAGGCTTGCCGTCCCTACCTAGTCCAACCGATCAGCCTGATCAACCCTGCACCCCGACTCCGGTCAGCCCAACTCTGCTAGTTCACTTCCAAAGATCCCTGATTGCTCTCAGCCAGATACTAGAAAAGATTCATCTTAATCTGTGAGTATGAAACTCAATTCTGGGTTTACACCTTAATTGGTTCCCTGACATTCATATGCAAGGTACGCCCCCAAAAGACTCGCCCACGGAGGCCAAAAGCGAAGCTTCTTCGACTCGTGTCTTCTTGCCCTCAAAACCTGGTGTTACGGCTTGCCACCGGAACTCAAGCCCGTGAGATCGGGGACACCAAATAAATTCCCCCAGGCCTACACGCTATGCATGATCTACAACACAGCCATTATTCTTCTCACAAAGCCGTATCTCGTAGATCCTGGATCGCGACGCTCTCCCAGCCCACAACAGGCGGTACAGCAACCACTTGATAGCCTCGCCCAAAAGACCTCCACCATTCAACTTGAGGCCGCGAAACGGATAGGTTCACTGGGCGAACAATATCGGGAGGTGTTTGGTAGCTTCCGGAAGAGCCCCATAACGGCTACCTACTGCAGTTTTTCCGCTGCCCTGGCACTTCTTAACCCTTATCCCCAAGGAATGCAGGATGGCGGTAGGAGCGATATTGATATGGACAATGTGAATTCATGTCTCAAAACCCTCCAAGAGCTGTCTGAATCGTGGGTACCTGCTGGCAAGTACTATTGTAGTCTCGTGCGAATGATAAACGGCCCTGATGCCAGCGGACAACAAGCACCTCCTGGGAAGGTTAACACCGCTTCCGATGAGGTATACGTGCCGTCTTGGAGTCAAGCATACAGTCAGGGCACGATCGTTCCACCTGAAGGAGGATGGGGTCAAAATGGTTCTGGACTTGACTGGTCGATGTGGACGAACTCGGGCTTAGCGAATGACGGCTCGTTGGCCTCTGGTGGGGAGATACCTGGACTGTTCGATTTGCCTTTGTGGCTGCATGATGAGATGGATAGCAGTATCAATGATCTGTCATGGGAAAGTTCTTTATAATTATATGAATACTATCTCTCGTACCGAATGAAACAAGACCTTTTATCACTAGGCACAGTACGCATGTGCAGGATTATCCATAACCACCAAGGCAAATAATAATATAGAAGCTATTATCTACTTAGTAGTACTAATAGAGACTGGACATAATCTTACATCGGTTGCTGGCCACAACCAGCCCCACAGGAGCATATTAAGGAATGTATATTCCGCAGATGTGTAGGAGCTAGACAGGGCTGATCGAGGCAAGTACCCTACGGCACTTGTGTTCCCCAAGACTAAGTCGTTCGATTTGTTTCCATTACTATGTCTCGCTGTCAGTACGGTATCGTTGGTGCCGACTTTCTTTTGATTGACTGACTCACCAATGCTTCCATTCTTACGCAGTTACCACACTTCAACATACCAAGGCTCATTCAAGGCCCAACACAACTCTTACCACGTCTACCTGGACCAGGAAGTGCAGGACGCTATGGTTCGTAACTTCAAGAAGTGGATGTCTGACAGCCATCGCGCTTGGACCTGTGTGCAGATTGGTCGCCTTGGTTCTGATGCGATGAGTGTTGAGATTGAGGTTTTGGTGTTCGATCCTGAGGGTGCTAAGGAGGTTGATGGTTTTGGATGAGACGTTGTGAGAGACGAGGTGATGTTCCTGGCGTATACGTATGCCTTGTTAGGATTGGGGGCCGGTATGGAAAATATAGATTGGGCTGTTGAGACTTACCATGAAAATGGACTCAAGGAACAATCTCACGCAGATTGTCGTCAATCCTTCTCGTGCCTCGTAACCATTTAGATCAGACCTTGTTTCTGAAGACAAAAGCTACGAACACATTGATCTAAAGCAACAGCTTTCATTTTTCTAACATTACTCTAATTAATCTATGATGGTAGCAATTTCCCTAAAAACAACAATCCCACCGACGATAAAAGTCGCACTGGTGTCAGCAATACCACTTCCTCATCTAGAGGAATCGACGAAGATGATAGCTTTGAGTTCGCGTCTCAAGCTCTCACACCCGCGGTACGAGACAAAAGCTGTCTGCTTGGTGTCCTCTGGGTTCGCAGGCCGGTTCTGCCTCTGTGCCCTGGGGCCATCCGCCGACATGGCTCCTCTAATGACATCCACGCTCTGATACTCCGGAGGGACATCTGCACGGGATGATGGTAGGCCGATCCACTTGGCGGTCAATCGTCTCCAATCATCACCGGTGGGTTCCCAACATACTAGGCGTCGCTCGTCGGGTGTACTAAAGACCATGATGGCACCTTCTATACCTGCATATTTCTTGGCTGTCCACAGACTTCCTGTGGTGTAGATCCCCGGCCCAAAATCATTGTCAGCATTGGTCGAGCTTATAACAGGGAGGAAGAAGGCCAAGGATCTCTCGAGAGCGAACAGGGACAGCCCTCGGAATAACGTATCCTTCCGCTGCAGAAGACCATCCGTGAATTGAGCCATTACATCGTTCTCAAATTTGTCAAATTTTTGATTATGCGGGACTCGTACAACTTTGATGGCCTCACCATTGGCCACTGTTCGCGAGAAGGGATATAGTGTCCCAAGCGCTTGCGTTGCCACAGTGCCTGTAACCGAGGCAGGGATCACGCATTTTCTCACTGCTCCGCTTGGCAGCCCGGGTATATGGTCCCAGGGAAAGATGCCATCCTCCTGGTAGCGGGACAGCAGAAACGAGACAGGCATACACCCGATTGGGATACCCACAATCTCATCGTCAATGACATAGGCTGGGTCGTCGATCATCCGGACCACATCAGGCCGACCGCACATGTGGAAGATCGTCCGGGATGATCCGACCATCTGGAGATACCGTGCTAATGAGACGTTAGCAATGATCCCTGGCAAGGAAGTCTTTGCCCTTGCATACCGTATTTTTGATTCTCCCCAAGCTCCTCCGCTATCTCGACGGGCATCTCGTCTCCCGCGTAGCCCTGACCCCTATACCATATTGGATCAAAGCGTACATGGTCATAATCCGTGTTGTCGTACATCGGTTCTCGATCATCATCGTCATCAGTTTCCTCCTCCTCCCTTGCCTCTGACTTTTCTTCTTCCTTTTCCTCTTCTTCAGGCTTCTCCTCAGCCTCCGGAGCCTTGTCGATGTGGCTAGACATGTCTGGCGTGGTGGCAATGTGATGCGTTTTCTGTCGGTGAATCACTCGCTCATACGTGAACACGTTTGGGGGGGTGCGATTTCCTCCAAGGGAAGGGGTCGCTTCTTATAGAAAGCGATTGGCGCAATTTCGCTCATCTTGAAGGCCGAATACGAGCTAGTGCTGACGTGCTATCAAGGATATCAGCTAAAATAGAAAGGGTAAGTGCCTGTTCCTGGAATGGATGGTTTTACATCTACAAGAGGTCGCTTCTCCAGGCTGTATTTATGCTGGAGCTTCCCCTACTCTACACTGCGATATTCTACAGAACAGAGACAAGAGCGCACCATGTGCGCTCAGACCCGTATGTTACTATTCACAAGTTCATTGGTTTGCAAAGGTCTGTACACAAAGGGAAGCAAAAGGGAAACAATCGTCTCGGGTGTCTGTGGAGGAGAGTAAACCGTGATCTATGTGGAGATATGATTCCTAGCGAGCAAAGACGCTTGTCCAACCTCCTCTATCGGAGGTCTTCAGCATGAAAAAGAGTCCCGTGACTCCCATCATAGAGTGTCCCGTCGTAACAAAGGGGTCTGTCATAAAGGGTCCGCTCATAAACAGTGTCTTTGTCTTTTCTTCCCTTTGTTGCTTCAAAGGGGTAGCTAGTTATCAGCATCTAGACCTATCGTAGACAAACCAGCCAGATTCCCTTTGACTATCAAAGTCTTCATTGATCGCTAAGCCTCAACACCGTCGGGGAAGAACCCGATGGATGAAATACATCTGCGGGAAGCCAGTAATCCAGCCACTGCATTTGACAGTGTACATAGCGGCATTAAGCTGGCCCACAGTGGCGGTTCTATGAATATGACAAAGAAAGATCGAGCTAACATTGCTCTAGTTCTGCCTTATTCTATACTCTGAGATTACTCACTGAGCATCCTATTCCGTAAAGGGAAAGATGCGAAGTTCTGCAGGAAACAGTTCGCTAGGGTCGTGTTTGCCTGACAAGGCTTTGTTCCAAAGAGCCCATGCTGTCCCCATCCGTAAATGAAACTTCAGTCTTTCATCGACTGGATAAAGAGCACAGCCGAATGCAGACGGTCCATTTGTATGGTGACGGTGCTGAGTAGGGCTTGACGGAACTATACCATAATAGGGCTAGTTCAGTGATCGAATGACTCTAACCTAATCGGGCAAACACGATGTTGCAACACTGTTTTCCTGTCTTGGTAACCTCATGACCAACACTACGTGGTGAGGCTTGATATCACTTTGCCATTCCTTATACAGTCCTAACAAAGAATTAACAACAGTGGTATGTTTTATCCAGCATTTACTGAGCCCAGTGAAGTGGACGATCTGGAGTCCCAGAACACTGCCCACATTGTTCAATTTGCATGCCGTTCAGATCCATTGGTTTATTAATATCATGCTTTAGCATATACCTTGTCTTCAGAAAGTGATGGAAACCGAAACATAATGCACAATCACAAAGAGAATCATGCTAAGTTGGAGTTTTTTTCATGACCACCAACCAAAGTAGACTCCATGCTAGGTACTCAGCGGCGGCCGGACTGTACTTGACTCAACGCAAGTGGCAAAGAAGTTGGCTTGAGCCAGACCTGATTGCAGACCGATGCGTCGTAGCTGTGTTACTATCCATTGTCGCGTATCCTCCGAGTTGGTGTGCATACAGCCGGCAAGCAAGAGCATCCAGCTGGCAAAATACGCACCGACTCCTGCGCCGGTATACGTAGATTGCTCAAAGCTGAAGCCGTTGACAGTTGTAGTCGAAAGAGCCGACAGTTTGGAGCCTGATATCGTCACTTGGTTGAAATACTGCCCCAGGTTCACTGGTTGCACTTGCTCCTGGGCAGGGAAAGGGAAGTAGCTCATCTGCTGGGGCACGGAGGCCAGGATGTCATCGCGAATCTGCCTCATCGTTCGACTGGTCTCCTGTAGCTGATCGCTGTAATTTCTAGAAAAGAACCAACTGGGGTCCGACTTGGCTCCTCGTAGTAGAAGATGGCAGATGGCGTGATTGGCCAAGACGCGGCAGGTACGCATATCATTCCAAACGCCGACAACCCCGGCATCATGAAAGCTATGGTAGACGTCACCATGACCCGGGTAGGGTCCGGACTAGCGAGTTGCACGACAGTGAACTGCCACTCAGGTGAACATTCCGAGAACCGACTCTCAAGTCGGTGGTCAATATCCAGAGCCTGCGATAGGTACCGCTCTAGCTCGTCGATAGGCAATTGCCTTTCTGCGGTGCTAGTTCCACTACTATCGACCTCCCTACCATGGATGAAATCATAGCCTCCGGGGGCTATCTGGGAATAGAGATCCATGATGTCCACGAGACCGCTACTGGCAACCCAGTAGGGGTCAGAGGCACTAATTGCTTTGGAAGCCTCGGCACGGATCATCCGGAGGGGTGCGGGGATGGCACTTCCCATGCGCAGACAATTTATCAAAAGATGGCTGAAGATGTCCTTGAATATCTGGAGGCCAATGGGAGTGGTAAATTGGGCCTTGCCGCGCAGCCCTAGCAGTAAGGTCGCACCCTGGATATGCCGATCCCATCCATTAAGTGATGATTCGCCGAATTCATAGAGGGACAAAATCAGAACTGTGACGATGGTGCTATGCCGGCGTGCCGTCGGCGGGTCTGACAGAGCTTGGTTCATTCGTTTGATGGTTCTCGTATACATGACCCTTGACCTACTCCGTAGATCGGCCTGACGAGTGCTATGGGCCAATCCAGCCAAACCCACGGCTAGAATGGCTCCCTGCAGGATCTCATTGTCATCGTCTAATGTGAGAATGCTGGGTACGTAGTCAAGAAAACCAGATGAGGGTGGAGATTGTCGCACGACGTAGTTTGCTAGGAAATAGTTCAACGCGATCATATCGAGAGGCAGGGTAAACGGTGAGGAAATCGCTCTCTGATTATCAGAGTCTTCCCCGTCTTCCTCGCCGTTCCCTACATGTTCACTCCCCAACCCTGGACAGGACGAGGAGCTACTGCGCTCCAACGAGCACGGATTCTCATTGTTAGCATCCAGGGGGTTGCTATTCACTTGTAGGGCATTGCTCCCCACTATACTCTGACTATGGCAAGTGAGTAGAGGGTCTTCATTAAGTAATCCCTGCTCTAGCTGCACTTGTGATCCTGCACACTGCGACCGGCCTGGAGTACGTGCCCGAGAAGTGTCACGTTTCGTGATTCTTGCCCGCACTTTGTCGCCGATCTGGCTGCTCTCGTCTCGAAAGAGAAGGCTCGCGGGGTCTCGATAGCCAGGACATTGCTGTCCCATACGTCGACATTGACCACATCCGGGGACAGCCTTGTCGCACTATTACCCATTATCCGAGCCACTGTTAGTGTCACTTAACGTGAGATGGAAAGAAGGAGCCCCAGATTGAGTCAATATTGCCAGAAATAGAAAGCCGACGTACTCGTCTCTTCTTGGCCCGGCAGTTCTCGCAGCTGGTGGAAGGCCGTCCACAATACACCATGGTTGCCTGAAATCGCGGGGTAAAAACTGGGGCCGGCAACAGGAGACGGAAGAGGAAAGCAGTTCGTCGTGCGGCTGTAATATGTTGTTCCTACCAGCTTTGCAAAGGAATACCACTGGTACCTAGTGAAGCGGGTCTATTGGGGTCCTTACTCGTCCTGTCATGCTAGGTGCTGGCACCAAGCCTTTTCCCCAAGACTCACTTAAAAGCTTGGTCGCTTACTTCTGATGACCAATCAACGGGAATCTGTATGCGATTATTGACACACGTCCGGTACATTGTCTATACTTATCATTTCGCGATATGTATCATGAGTATGCCAGATAATAATACTACCTAGTAATCACTGAGACAATCATTCAATCGAAATTACACCGAAAGTATGTGACAACATCACAGAAGATCGTGAAGGTCCACTGCTCTCAAAGCTTGGTCCTGGACTTGATGTAGTCATCACCACTATATTCTACGCCAATAATTATCGACCGATGCCTTCCCATGACGGCGATATATAACTCCAAACAATATCAAGCAGCAACAGATGCACTCCTTCAGTGAGAGAATAGGGCAAAGAAGGCTAGACCCTATGTGGTATAGCGCCGTGGAAGAACTACCCGAACAGGTATGCATGATGCTGACCAATTGAAGACACGAAGCCCTATACAGAGTTGACTTTGAAGTCAATGCATGCTAAGCTCCGCCACGTAGGAGCGGATGAGGCTTATTTATCTTTGATGGTCGATGCCAGGGCTGAAAGCTGAGTAGCTGGGCAGTTTAGTTATAAATATGGAGGGCGAGACCGGTTTTCTTGAGATGATATCTACACTCCATCACTCTTTCCATCGTCCATCATGCCCGGCAGCTCATACTATACAACCTCCTATGAGGCAGACTACACATACCAGGAGGAAGACTATCCCTCTCCCCAACTCACGACAAACTGCGGTCCTCTGCCACTCCCAATTGTAATTCCACAGCAACGACCAGGATCCAGGGAGCGCGGGTTCATCGCCGCCTATGCCCCGTCACTAGAGGCATGCGGCATCGATCGCATGACATTCTTAAAATTCCTAGATGAATGCAATACAGCTGTACAAGGAAATAAGTTCCTAGCAGGCGTACAAGTGGTCTCGTTCGGCGTCGGATTCACCCCGGAGATGATCGTGATGGGCGTTGCAACTGCCGTGCAGGCCGGTGCTTACATCGCAAACAAAGGCCATGTCAGACACAAGTAAGGGCAATCCAGAACATTCATCAGGCATGCGACTAATTGCAACGTGCAGAACCAATGCTGTCCTCGATCAATATAATCAAGAACTGTTCGGCCCTCGCGGCCTCTTCTGCATGATCATGAGCTACGAGCCGGAAACATACGACACAGCTGAGTCTCGCTCGTCGCAGCCACTATCGAGCCAGCTCAATCGGCTTGGATCCCTGGCCTCGCGCAGCTGGGTACGAGATCCTGTCTCGGGAACATCACAAGGCGCTCGTAA